TTCCCTTTCCCTTTCTTTTTTCCCTTATCAGTCCTTTTCCAGTCCTCAGGTACTTGCCTGATGCTCCAGGATTTATGAAAGATGTGGTGCAATGGTTCTGAGATAACATCTGCCAGATCCTTCAGAACTCTGGGATGTAATTTGTCAGGTCCCAGTGATTTATATTCGTCAAGGTCAGATAGGTGTTCTCTTACCATTTTCTTGCTTATTTTAATTTTTGTTTCTAGATTGTCTTCTGCAGTGTTTTTTTTTTGTATGTTGGGCTATAGTTTCTTATATACATACATACAGTCACACACACACACACGTATACACACGTGTGTATGTATGTATATGTGTATAGACACATACACATGCACACACAGATACATACATTCTTAACTAACTTATGGAATAGTCTGAAGAAACTGGAAAAAGTCAAAGGATTGATGGGGTCTCATCCATGCAAATATTCACAAAGCAAGACTTTTCTCCTATCTAACTGATCTTTTACACATAAAATATATGCACTTAATTACAAGCATCTTATTACCCCTTACAACACTTATTTGTCTCAATGCTATTACAATAGAGAGAACCAAGGACTTCTAGGTTATTTGTTTCTGCTTCTTTTATTTTATTTGTATTATTGAATCTTACCACTTGGGAGAACATACCATGACTGCCCCAAGAAGTATGCAGTGTTCTTATTTTGCTGCTTGCCAGTAGATAAATAAAATAAATTCCAAGTCCTCAGAAAGTGTTAGAAAAGAAACTTTTTTCCACTGGTGCACTTCTATTTCAGGATTCTTGCCCTTTCATTTTTCTTCCAACCATGCTGTCTGATTCCCAGTCTTATGGATGGCAAACCAAAGCAGATTAAATAAGGAAAAGCTTTAGGTTTATTCTTTATGAGGGACATTGTGCAAATCCAGTTGTAAGTGGTCTTGAGAATAATTTGGAAGGCTAATGTTCTAAACAAATAAATTTGAACATAACAAAATAGCTCTCTACAAATAGTATATACATTGAAATAGCAGGGAGGAATTTCTGGGAGAGTAAATCAGCAGGTGATTTAGTTCATCAGGTCATAAGCAGTGGTGGGATTCAGCCAGTTCACACTATTTCGGCAGAACTAGTAGCTAATTTTTTGTTGCCCAGGCCCAGAATTGACTTCCGGAAACAGCATCCATAAAGAGAACTGGTTGTTCACATATTTGAATCCCACCACTGGTCATAATACAGTACACTTTAAGGGCACAATGATGGAGAGAACTGATTATCCGTTTAAGCAATTAAACCAGACAGACACGGAGGAAAAAAATGGATAGATACTGTACAATGAAATTATAATTCCAGGCATAAATTCCAGAAAACCACATTCAGAAAAATATTGTATTATATTATATTGTATTGTACCATAACCAAATACAATCTAGAAAAACTGATATAATCCAGTTTTTGCTATTTAAAACAAGGCTTTATTGAATTTACCAATAATGACCTGCAATATTCTATTTCCACAGCAAGGTGCTAAATTAACTCCACTAACTGTGTCATCATGGCTGTAATTTACATGATATAACATTACAGTTAATATGTACTATAGTAATTTGCACATGTTTTCAGTAGTACTGTAGTATGAAAAAATTATATGATGCAGTTATTAAGGCAAATTGTTTCATTCTTACATAAGTTCTCTGACAGCAACTAAAGTCCTTCCAAATTACAAATGAAATAATGCTTACCATGCTCAATTGAATAACAGGCATTGGTTCTGTTATTTTATTTTCTTCTTTTCTTCTTGAGTAGAGTAGGAAGGAGAAATGATGTGAAAAATGTCGACCAGAAACACAAGAAATATTGAATCTCACTTGGAGCAAAGAACCAAAACCCTGCTCAAGACTCATGTTGAATATAGTTGAATTTCTTTGAAATCTATTGCCCTGGACAAAATGTCTATATTTTTTGAAAAAGATGCAATTGAACCTTTTGTCCTTTTAGTTTTTAACCAATATTTTAACCAGGAAGAAAAGATTAAAGGAGAAAACCCTTGAGATAACTACTTTGGGAAATGTTCCTGGAGATTTAAATGAATTCCAAAATGAACAAGAGAACAAAGGGAAAATCTCAACTGAGGTTTTACTTTGATGAGTAAACAGTTATGGACAATATTAACAAAACAGATTCCATTCTACATGACTTAATCTAATTCTACACTTCAGGAAGGATACTGATATACCCAAAGGAAATCATAGTAAAATATTCATTTCAGGACTATAATTTAGCACATCATCCCAAAATAGGCAACATATTGCTGGTGAAGGATATATTATGGAAACACATCAAAAACAACTTTGATTTAATCCCAAAATTTGTTTTATAATGACTAATAGGGGGCTTTTCCACACTGCTGCTTTAAACTGTTTGACTCTCGTGCATAAACCAGCTAGACAGGAAGTTTGATTAAGAAATCTTTTTTCTTAATCCTATTTCATTAGTGAACTTGTTTTAAAAAAATGGCCATCAAGAGCACAAAGTGAAAGTGATGGAGGGAAGAGGTTCTTGCTACTGTGCAGAGTAGTGAAGGTGTTTACTTATAATGAAGGCAGCAAGCAAATCCAACAGCATAGCTTGGATGGGAATAGCTGGAAAACACTACTTTTGACACATAGCAGAAGAGAAGTGATGAAAGTTGACTTCTTAGTGAGTTGGGGGGCAAATAGAGGGTAATGTCCAGTTTGTTCTAGTGGTTAAGGCACCAAGCTAGAAAGCAAGAGAGTGTAAGTTCAAGTCTCGCCTTAGCCATGAAAGTCAGCTGGGTGACCTTGGGCCAATCTCTTTCAGTCCAACTCATTTCTCACGGCTGTTGTTGTGGGCAAAATAGAAGGACAAAGGCATGTTGGATATGTTCGCCACCTTGACTTATTTGTAAAAATAATACTGGGATATAAATAACAAAGTAAATAAAAATGTTAGGCAGTTTTGCCCTTAAGGAATAGTCCAACCTCATTATCTGGATGGCATGGAGAGACTGGTCATGCAGACCAGCCCAAAGTCTGATTTATTTATCACTATCCAATCATAGGGATAATGCAACATTCAAAGGAGAGACAATTGTGTTAATTTTAGAAAAGGTAATTCAGTCACATCCAAATCAGGAAGCAGGATCCTTTTTTCATCTACATGCTTTAGAATTGGTGTGTTAATGGTCCATGTAGGTATCCTTATGTTTCAAGATCCCTAAGAGTAGAGACCTAAAGATACGCCTGCCATTCTCATTCTGAAATTTCCATATTGTCCAAATATGAAATATTCCAGAAGTTTTCTATCCTTCTTGACAATTATATAATATTAACATGGTTTTTCTTTAATCTTTGTTTTTTAGGAGGGGACAAATTATCTGAATTATTACTCTCTTACTTAAGAACAGTAACAAAACAAAAATGACTGGCCTAATTATCAATAAAGTAGGAATGCTAGGACCTGTGTTTATATGCTTCAAGTATATTTTAGTCCGCTTTATTTTTTAATAATGCAAAGAATAAGAATTAAGAAATATTTAAGAATCAATAAGAACTAGTGTAAGGGTGCGAATAAGACAGAGGGAGGGAGAAAATATGATATTCTTTTGATACTCATCTATTGAGGCATGATAGCATAAGTGGAAGCAGGCAATGGGGAGAGGAGAATGGGTAAACCCTCCTTCTCTCTGCAAGCCTTTCTTCTCTTTCTAACAGCCTTTTCTCTCTTTCACTAGGAGTACACAGAGTTCTTGAACTTAGCCTGGGACCACATAAAATAGGCTGATCTCAGGATGGACCTTCCCATCCCATCTGAAACATCTATAGCATTATTCCAAAGCTATTATTTTCCTGGGTTCCAAGATCACCGCAGATGGGGACTTCAGCCAAGAAATTAAAAGACGCTTGCTCCTGGGGAGGAAAGCTATGGCAAATCTAGACAGCATACTAAAAAGCAGAGACATCACCCTGCCAACAAAAGTGTGTATAGTCAAGGCCATGGTTTTTCCAATTGCAATGTATGGATCTGAAAGTTGGACTATAAGAAAGGCTGAGCGACAAAGAATTGAGGCCTTTGAACTATGGTGCTGGAGAAGACTCCTGCGAGTCCCTTGGACTGCAAGGCATTCAAACCCGGTCAGTTCTAGAAGAGATCAATCCCGACTGCTCTTTAGAAGGCCAGATCCTGAAGTTGAAACTCAAATACTTTGGCCACCTAATGAGAAGGAAGGACTCACTGGAAAAGGGCCTAATGCTGGGAAGATTGAGGCAACAGAAGAAGGGGACGACAGAGAATGAGGTGGCTGGATGGAGTCACTGAAGCAGTAGGCGTGAACTTAAATGGACTCCAGAAGATGGTAGAGGACAGGAAGGCCTGGAGGAACGTTGTCCATGGGGTCACGATGAGTTGGACACGACTTTGCAATTAGCAACAACAACAAAGATACAAGCAATGGGTCGGTTCTTGAGTAGCTGTGTGGATTTAAACAACATAGCAAAGACTATGTATCTTTTAACCACACATCACTTTTTTTTTATTCTAGGACAGAACACCTTGCACTGATGTTTACCATCAATCATGGCAGATTTTCTAGCATTCCCCCTTAATATCTGACCTGCTAGCAGCATCTGTACAAACTAAGTTGAGAAAGAACAAATGAAATGTGAAGGTACAGGAAGGGAGATAACACCACTTGAAAAAAATATACATCCATATAAAATAGACCCCCTAGCCATCTCATCATAGAAATAGTATTGCAAATTATGTGAGTTTTTCTAACATCTGCAACTAGAAACTGCCAGGAGGCTCTTAATGTAGAAATACTTTGCTTAGTCTACTTGCCCTTTGCCTTATTTTTCACTTGGATTCTCTAAATTACCATTAGTTCCTTTTAGCTAACAGTTTCACTGGCCAAATATTTATGTCACAAATGAGAACATTAAAAAAAATCATTTTTGATACAACAAATTAGCACTCAGTCGAATATCAATACTTACTTTGTTGCCCAAATAAGGACTCGGTGCACTCCAGTAATAAATAGGCTGCAGAACAGTTCTTGCAACTATGTTACTGATGCTCAGTTGCTGAGGTCCATCAAAACTGTCCTGCTGAGGAGTAAGTTTAGCAAGGCCCCGTTCATCAGTCAATTGCCAGCCACTCATGTCCATAATCTATGATAACAAAGAAAAATACTTGTTAACATTCATAATCTTCCTTCTTTTTTAAAAAAAAAATCTTTGTTTTTTGTCTTTTATTTGCTTTCATATTAATATTAACAATAATATCCCACTTTTATTTTCTCTCAGGGTAATGATTTAAAGGCTAAACAGCTTATGTAATGATGTAATGTAACATAAGGTAGATGATGCAATAATAGGAATAACTCAGCAGGGTCTGTGTCTGTTCCTTTAAGAGCCTGAAGGGAAGGCTTTTACTGCTGTGTATCTCTCTCATCCATTTCCTGCTGTAATTGCTGTGTTTGCTGAATCACCACATGTATGTATTTTGTTTCTAGTATATATTGTACATAGTGTAACATAAACCACCATTTAATACAAACCACTGTTTACTGTATTTACTCTGGGTTACCTCAGCACAATAAGACTGTGCATGCTCTGACATTTTCCACAATTCAAGGCAGTGTATAAAATCCTCCCATCTCCTTGCAACAACCCTTGATGGGTTGGGCTGAGAGAGAATGGCCCAAATGGATCAATCAACTTTTATACTTAGAGAGGACTAGAACTCATTAGAATAGATAAGTCTCCTGACAGTCCAGAACTTTAAGCTCTACACAAAACTGGCCCTTAATAATTTCTCATTTAATATTGAGAATAGGGTTTACTATACTTCTCCTTGAGAAAATAATTAACCAATTTCCCATACTTAGGCAAATCAAGAGTAACAGAAGTTTAAGTTTGTAGTATTAATTGAACACTTTTTCTGGAATACACATCAATGAAATAAGGAGAAAAGCTTCTTGAGAAGATATGATAAGGTCATACTATATACATTTTAAAAATCCATGGTTGATTTGAACATGGCAACACAAAGAAATGTTTAGTAGAACATTTCATTCTCATGAGTTTTAATAGCTCACTGAAGTTTTCACTTCATATCTGAGGAAGCTAAGAAATTAAAAAGGCAAAAAGGAAAAGAGTCATTTTGACTCATTATGATTTTATAGATGCCAAACTCGTAATGAGATTGAAGTTGCATTGAATGCATTGAAAAGAATGTTCATAATTAGATGCATTTCTTTATGGCAAAATTAGCCAAATTCTCTCTATATAAGAATAAGACTATGATCATGCACAGAATAGGAAAAAGGGAAACATTATCCTATTAATATTTCCTACAGAATAAGGATTTGCCTGACAATTATTTTAGCAAGAATCTGTAACGAGTCTCTGTCAAAACCAGACAGGGTTAGGGATAGGAATGGAAACTTGGCTTTCTGTGTGAGCAAGGAAAGAAAGAATAATGAAATCACCCAGTGACTGGAAATGAGAGAAGATAATGATGCACCAAGATCAGGGTATTAAAATCCAACATATTTCATATGAGAGGGCTTTTCTTGAAGGCAATGAGTGATGTTTCCTTCAAAGGGAAGAAAATTCTGACATGCCTTCTCCAACAACAAAAGCCTATTTCAGAATTACAGGAAAAACTTTTAGTCTTAAACCTTTGGTCCTGTATTTTTCCTACTCCCACCTTGGTTGACATCATTGGAAAGATGAGGGGCTGTTTGAGCTCATAGCTCACTTTCCCCAACTTCTATAACTGATTGAGAAAGGAACTGAAAAGAAAAAATCAGGAGGCAGTGGATCTACTGTATAGTATTACACTGACAGCATTTCTAATTGGAAAGAAGCTGGCTCCTTACAAAGAGGAAATAAGCTAGAATTGAAGAAGCTTCTTGGAGGAGAAGTGAAACATTTTCAAATGACAACAAAAACAAAAAAAGTCCAGTTGCCTCTTGAAAAAGTAACTTTGGGACATTCATTTTGTATGCGTATACAGTAAAGAAAGATAAGCATATCTAAGCCAGACATTTTTCCCAAGCTCAACTCAGTTAGAGCACTCTTAATTAATGAAATGCTTGAGGATAAGATGTCAAGCCCAAATTGAGCCAAATTATTTATCGCCTGAATTTACAAATTGCTTGCGATATCATGGTGAAGTACTACTTATAGGTCTATAAGGGAGTTAAGCCCAGAAGAGTGCTATCAGTGGACTTAATTAAGTGGTCATAGACAGTATAAGTAATAGGAAGTAATATGTTACATTACTAGCATTTTGGCAAAGCTTTTAAGCAGTATTGCATGATTTCCTTGCTTATGTTATGATAATCTCTGCTACATTTAACACTCTTAAAAGGTAATCCTTGACTTATGACCATAATTTCTGTTGCTAAGTGAGACATTTGTTAAGTGATTTTTGCCCCATTTTACAGCCTTTCTTGCCACAGTTATTAAGTGAATCACTACAGTTGCTAATTTAGTAACACGGTGTGATGTCTCCCTTTGGTGACTCCCCATATTCCTCCTCATATGTCAGGGGAGGTTGAGCCCATTCCTGGCATATCAGGAACTGGGTTGATTGATGGCTCTGAACAGCCATCCAAAAGACTTCAGCTGGAGAAAGTTTGCAGTGGCAGATGGCCAGTGAAGAGGATGAGGAAATGCCTTCTGCACCTAATCTGAGAACACGCAGGGCAGAAAAAATGCAGGAGCAGCAGAGGTCAGCCAGACTACTCAAGAGGAGAAGACCCCACCCATCTTGATGGGCTGCACCAGAAAGCTGGCTATTTATCACAGCAGAAACAGGGAGGTGTTGCTAGAATGTGCTGGTTTTCTAGCTGTTTGTTTGTTTGTCGTGATTCCTGCTTCACTCTGGATGGGCACCGTGTTTTGAATTGTGCCTTGGAGTACCTGAACTTTTTTTGCCATGTGATCTCTCTTGTGTGTGGATTTAAGTTTTACCTGGTGGAGTTATTTTGTTTGAACAACTTTCAATTGCTTTGTGGGCTAATCTTGGCCTGCTTATGGCTGGACTTAATTGGGATAGCTCTCAGTTTTGGTAAAGGGAATTCCTGGGGAATATTAAATAAACTCACTAAACCACATTCACAAATCCTTACCACACCCCTGGAAAGAAGACACGAGTCGACAAGTTCACAAGTGGCTGGATTAAATCAAGGAACTTCTGGCATGCGTTTAGGCAAGTAAACAACAATCAAAGTCAGCGCTGGGAGCAACCGCCTCCCAGCGCTTTATATTACACACCCCTCAGCCGGCCCCACCCCCTCTCACTTAACCAGCATCCGGTATGCACGGTTTTAAAAGCATCCAGGCAGAACACACTGCAACCCCAGTTCCTGTGTCCCTGCGTCGTTTGGCTGTGCGTCGGGCCGCGCTGTCAGCTTTCAGCTCCCTGCCGCTTGCCCGCACCAAACAGCTGTTCAGCGGCCTGGAACTGAGCCGCTCAGCTGTCTGGCAGGGAGATCACGAAGCTGACGTCTCTGCAGCCACATTCCACCAGGTATCATGGGACGGTCTGTCGCCGCATGCTGCTGGTCCCCACTACTGCCCCGCATGCCGTTCTCAGTCCCCTCCCCCTGCCCATTTATGTTGAGCCTGCAGAGGCTTGACACCACAGTTATGTGCATGGGTGAACAAGTGGGGCAGCACACACGGTTGTTTAGTGACTCTGGCTTTTCCGTTGACTTTGCATGTCAGAAGGTTGCAAATGGTGCTCACATGACCCCAGAACATTGCAACCATCATAAAGATGAGCCAGTTGCCAAACGTCTCAATTTTGATCATATGAACATGGGGAAGCTGCAATGTTTGTAACTTTGAACAATCACTGCATAAGCTGTTCTAAGTTGAGGACAACCTGTAATGCAGTCTTGTTTTGGTTAAAAGTTGTTACATTGGAAGAACACCAATACTTTATTCATGAATAAAGTAAAATAAGAACGTTAAACAAGTCATGTTCAGAAGTTAAGTCTCAGCCTTAGCAATAATCCTGGGATTCACCTTTCTTGAATAACCAGCTTTACTTGCTCATCACTGTTTGCAGTTGTTACTGAATTGTCAGTTATGCAAAAAGTGTCTCAGCGTGTAACATGGAATAATTTCATTACAATACAAAATGTCATATATTCTGATAGGCATATCAGGTTTAAAGTCTCCTTTGTGATCACCTACCATCCTATAATCGTCATACCTTAGCATTACTAAAGACTGTATGCAGAAAGGTTCACTACTTCCTTTCCTATTCTCATGTATCCAGATAAACTGTAGCCCAGTGGTTCTCAACCTTTTTAATGCCGCAACCCCCAACCGGTCGTAAGTCGAGGACTAAACCGGTCGTAAGTCGAGGACTACCCAACCGGTCATAAATCGAGGACTTTCCCTGCCCGGGAGCGCTGCACATGCGTGGTGCCGCCCCCTGCGCCGACCGAGGTGTAGCTGGCAAGCAGCAGAGACGGAGCAGGCCAACCACCGGCTGGGCCACCAGCTAGCTCAGCCCAAGGGAGGTAAAGTACCCGCCAGAAAAGGGGGAAAAAATGGCAGACAGACTTGCTTGGCGACCCCCATGAAATGGTCAATCGACCCCAAATGGGGTCGCAACCCATAGGTTGAGAACCGCTGCTGTAGTCAATTTTATATTTTCCTGACTATACGTTGAAAGGATGATATCTGCCAATCAAGGGTAGCATTTATTTGTATTATTTTCTTCAGATAAGGATTCAGCACTTACCAGACAGTGCCCTTTCCAGGAAATATAATTTGGATTAAAAACAAAAATCTACTTACTCCTGGCCTGAGTTTCTCTGCCCAGTCCAACTCTAGGGCAGAGTGCTCATCTCCATTTCTTGGCCAAGAGAGTCATCGTTACTGAAGACATTTTCTGTGGTCAGCAGGGCTATATGTCAAAGCATGGAACACTGTTACCTTCCGACCAAAGCGGTACCACTGGGCTTCCCAGTGTTTACAGTACAGTTTGTTTCTGAGGCACAACTGTAAGCAACTAGACTGTGGGTTATCCATCTATGAATTATAAGATTAACTACAGATGTTTTTTTGATCCCACAGCATCCTGTGCATCACTAGATTAGATCTGGAGGATTAAGGAGTTTTCCAGAATAGAATGGAAGTTCAATTGTAGAAGCAGAATACATATTAATCTGTATAGATTTTTATCTGTCTATGTTTGAAAAATCACATAATTTCCATCTCTTTCACATATTTTTATAGGCAAAAACTAAATTTCCCTGAGGAAATTGTTTTGTTTGCATTTTTCACTTTGGTATGGATAATGGAACACCTCTCCAGTGTGAAAATTTAGAAAATTTGGCTTTCATTTCTAGGAAGAATCATGTTGTGTATTCTGAGGAGGGAAAATAGGCAAGTTAAAAAAAATGTCCACAGAGTGAGTTTCATGTTGAGATTTTATTTAAAATAAAATATACTCTCGTTGGATGTATGCATTTCTCTGCTTTTCCTTACCGTCCTGTAAGTCCACTGAGACTCTGTACAGTCATTTGTTATTCCTGAGCAGAAACATGCCTCACAGCCCTGGGGGTTTTCTTGCTGCAGGTTGAAGAAGCCGGCTTTACAGTGATCACAGTTCTTCCCTTCAACATAGACCTAGAAATTCAGAGGAGAATATTAGGTTTTTTTTTGTCATGCAGGAGAAGTAAATCTAGTTGCCTCTTGTTGCTTTTGCTTTGTTTAATGCAGTATGCATATATGTAATGATATATTTCTGTTAACAGGCAAGAGATAAAAGACCCAAAATTGCATCTCAGAGGACACTTAATGGTCCAGCCACCATTTTTAACTATTTTTCTGATTGGTCTTAAGTGCAACAGGAGACCATTACCACCACATTCAACATTATGACCAAAACAGGGATGTTTGGTTTGCATAGAGATATATTTATTGTGAAGCAAGAAATCACAATTCTAGTCCTTTGTAGTGTGCATAAACTATAGCAGCATCCCGCAACATAGTGCTTGGCACTAAGCAGTGGAAAGCTGTATACACAGTGTAGGGATCACTCTTTGACTTTGATTTATCTCATTTTCAAAAATGGGTGGGCTCTGCTTTCATTTGACTTCTGCTAAAAACAGTTGCAGGCCATTTCCAATAATACATTCCTTGTTCTACTTTAGAAACATGCAAATGTGTTGTTATTTAAAAAAAAAAAAGATAATAGGACCCTAACAGTCTAGTGCAGACATGTCAAACTCGCAATGTCACGTGACGTTGCGCAACGTATTGGAGCTTTTTCGCCATTGCTGGCAATGGGGTGGGCACAGCTCCGGTATGATGAAACCAGCCCATGGGCCGGCAGTTTGACACCCCTGCTCTAGTGTGCAGCTTCATTATGGCAACCTGCTTTTATATATGTTGATTGAACTGAAATATAAAGGGTTAACTATATATTTCTTTAAAGAGATAGTTAGAACAGATTTTTTCCCCCCTAATGTAAAATAAGCACAGGGATTTACCATGGGTTATAACTCCTTCTTGCTGTGGTCTCAATCTGGATCACAGTTTTTATGCCATAATGTCACTCTACCCTCCAATTCAGCCAAGAAAGGATTATTTTAGAAAGATGTTCATCAAAAATACTGTGCACATTATTATAATTGCTGCAGTATGGTATGCCAAATGTAGTTGACTGCAGGCCAGTGAAGGCTGACCCTTTTATGGAAATCACGATTCTCCAGCTACAGCCAGCACTGTGATTCTCTACTGATACACATCTATCAGAAATAATTCACTTGCCTTCCAGCTAAAGAATTGGATAAATGTACCAAAGCAAACCTAAAAGTAATTTCTGAACTGTACAATTTCTCATAAAAGAAAAGCAACAGAGGAAAGGGGTAATTTTTTTTTAAATAAATAGAAGAAAAGAGGGTATCAGGGCAGATGATATATATTATTATAACTTTCTAATCCTTTTGACAGATCCATTATTAAAAGAGATATCAATGAACAGCACCACTTTCTTTTAAATTAAAACAGACACAACCAGCTTCCAGAAAGGATGAACACAAGGTTCAGCAGTATTTATGAGGGATCGTTGTGGAAGCCTCCTTGAGTTAGTTTCATTTGTGTGAAGTTGACCTGTTCTCATGCTGCTTATTTGTGCTTACTATAAAGAAAGAAAATATGTCTAAGACAGAACAATCCTGCTTATCTGACCTCAAAGCTCTCGTCTCATCTTTGCTGATGTGTTTATTTCACATATTTATAGGGCCACCCATCTATCAAAGCCATTGTGGGAGGTGAATAGTGAAAAAAAACCACAAAATCAGAATATATAAGATAAGAAAATAAAATTGAGACTTCTAAAAAAAAGAAAAGAAAGAACTCTCACTAGAAGCAGGGACACCTGCATCTATTTCAGATCTTCATGGTTTTTCAGAAGACCACCAGGATTGAGCCCTACCTGTTTGGGGGAAATAGGGCTGCAATGAGGGAAACTCTGGATTCTCTTAATGACAAAGCTCTGTCCACAAGATTTGAGAGCTAAGAAAAAGCATCATAATTTAATTCTCCCATCTGAAATCAGAGCACTCCATTTCTTTAACTTCAGATAAGAAAAATGAAATCAGCAGCAGCAGCAGCAGTAGCAGCAGCAATAATAAACCCTGAAATATCTTCTGTGGCATTTTAACTTTCAAACAGCTTCAGTGTTGGAAAATATGCATATATTATATACTTCCTGAAATTAACTTTAACCCACATTTTGCTTTCAAGGGGAAATTATGCGCATGCTATTTGTACAAAAACACCTGCCTATGTTATTTTATACTGTCCTTATTACAAAGATATCTAACTGCAGCTAATAACATCCCATCTAGTCAAATTTCCAAGCCACCCAGATCCAGCAATTGTTGCTAATATGTGGTTTTATCTTTTGTAATGTGGCTGTGTTTTATTTCATTATTTGTAAAATACACCATAGTTCTAGCACACTAGAAAGGCACCTGGGTAGAAATGCATTAAAGGCTTTTTCTAGTGGTTTAAGTTAATCATGGCCCGTACCAGACCACTCTTATTCATATTGTTTTGTGCTCATGATAAAGTTGCCCAGCTATATCCTATCTTTTCTCCAAGAGCTCAAACCAAATTACAAAAGGATTTCCCTTCATTTTATCCCATCAACAACCAGATAAAAGTGAGTGTTCTTATAGAATACATAGACACAAACCTGGGTCTCCTTGATTCTAATCAAACATTATTTATGTATTCATTTATTATTTAAGAAACCTATATGGCCACAAATCTTATATACCATAACCTTGGGCAGTTCACAAAAATAGCCATGAAAAACAACAGTAAAACAACCTGTGTCAACAGGCTTGAGGATCCTAAAGAAATGGTGACTTGATGAGATGGCTACATTTACCTGCAATACCAAAGATGCTGTCTCTCCTATTCTTTTAAAAATATTGATATATGTTTGTTTGCTTGTTGTTAAATTATGCTATATTTTAATATGGTTTGCTGCAGGGCTCTGTTTTACTATGTGGCATTCAAAGTCGTATTTCTGAGATGGGCAGCTATATAAATATGACAAATTAATTAGTAAATGAAACATCAGAGAAAAACAATTCCAAGTATCCAAAATTCATTCCCCAATACATTGGCATTTATATTTCCTGAGCTTCAGGCTCTCACTAGCTCAATGCTCAGGAGCAAGACCCAGTTTTTCAAGGCCTTAGGGACAGAGATGGAGGGGTGGCTATTAGCAGCAGTTTCTTTCTGTTACAAGTTTTTCTATCAATATTAAGATAATGAAATAATGAAAAACAATGATGTTATATAAATTCTCCACTGTTATCTGTTTTACACAAAGCCATTATTTGGAAAAGAAATCTGCTTTAACAAGAATAACTTGCTGGCATAATTCTGAGTAATTACTTCAGATTAAAAGATCAAATCCACATCGGAAGAACTTCAAGGTGTCATGGCATTTTGATACCATGGCACCTCCAGAAATATTTACAAAAAAGAAAACATTGAAGAAAGAAAGAAAAAAATGCAACCCATACCTTGCACCTGCATGGTCCTTCGCAAGGATCATCATTCAAACTGCCTTTCAGAGAACAATTGCAGGGCACACATTGAGGAAAGTTTTTGTAACCCAATGCACACCGATCACACCTCTCTCCTCCAAAACCTGGTTTACAATGACAGGATCCAGGATGCATACCTGCAGCACAATCAAGCCAGAACCAAGCTCAGTATTATTAACGCAGTGGAAACCCAAATCTAAATGAGTTCTAACTGGGAAAGTTACCTAAGTGTGGAAAATTGTGATCAAAAAAAGATTCATTTCCATCAATGTTTAATGAGTGGGGAGAAGCCCTTCAAAAGATGATGTTGAATAATTGGCAATAAAAACAATTGAATTTATGGAATTTGGCAGGTTAATAAAAGTTTAGTTAATAAAAGGAGAGCTAGGCTGCAGCAATGATGCTGATACCATAATAATGAGAAATAGTTACTGAAGTAGGAAATGTTAGAAACAGTGGTGACATCATTGCATTTTTCTACCCATTGGGCAGTATAAGCAACTTGTAAGTATGGTGCCTGCCACATGTAATCTTATAGTCACTGTGCCTGCTACATGCACTGTGAGGCAACATTCTCTGGTTCCTATATTGCTTGTTCACATTTTGTGTCAGTGTAGTATGCTATACCTGGATCTTTTCCTCTCGAAAAAAAAAGCAATAATGATACCATTCTATATCTTAGACATGGAAGACCTGGGCCGATGCCACCATGTTCTAACTTTAAACGTGAATATACCTGAACTTTGATTTATTTTCCTTTACTGCACTATAGTCATGTGAGTTGCTTGTGAACAGCAATATAAACTTTTATCAGCATAAAAATACTGTTTAGTTTCTTGGCAGGTAGAGGTCAGAGGGAAAGTGATGCAGCAGAAGACATACAGTAAATGATTCAGGCAGTGCAAGATCAAAGTTTTTCCAGGGAAAATATCTATGTCATCTAAATGCCTGTGTTTATCTATAAAACTAGGTCCTGGCCAGTCTATGGATTCTGATTTTATAAAAACCTTCTGCAAACATGATAATGGAATCCTTTCTTTATTGCAGGGATAATGGGACTGATAAAGAACATAAAATGATCCTAGAGTATTTTGCTGCCATTATAACTACATCCCACAATCCTTTGCATTAATGCACAGAAAGACATAAGATATAAGCTAAGTTGACAAAAAGCCACTCAGTATCATCCCATCCCATTATCCTCCAAGAACAAAGTGTTCTTATTCCCCTTGGGGTAATAATTCAGAGATTTAAAAATTTTTTTTTACTTCAAATAAAAACTTTTCCTTACTGAAAACTGCCCGAGCACTAAAACAGTCTATTTCAATACTGAACACGTAATATGCAATCATACTCATCTGCAAATATGTCAAGAACATCTATTGTCAAAATAAATGCATTTTCCAACCTTTCCAAAGAAGGACTAACTTCTTCCAGGTTATATAGATTCAGTAAAATTGGGATCTTGGTGTTGTTTTAGGGGATATATGATAAGGCAACCAACATTTAACTCTCCCTTACTTTAATAAAGAAAGGGTTTCTGCAAATAAATAAATGAGTTTTTTATTAGAGTTACTAAACCTAAATATTTTATTCTCCCATAAAACCATACTGTACACCTTCATACTGGAAGGAAGTTGACCTTATGTGTTAAAGAAGACTTTTTATTTAATATATTTATTAGATTCCTGCTTCTTTTAGATTTTTAACTTTGGTGTAGTTTTTCATGTATCTTTTAAAAAATGTTTTAATATATTCACCAATGTGATAATATCAAAGAGATAATAGAATTAATACTATTCCATTCAATCTGCCTCATAGGAAAAAAAAATCCTTGTGAGGGCTGTGACATTCTCATCTAATCTAATCTAACAACAACCAATCCTAAAAAAATATTGTCAGCTGTTGTAGGCCACAATACAAACTGCCCTTACATATTACTAAGGCTACATTATAATTTACATAGTTCATAATGTGTCATTTCACAAATGGTCTTATTTTGGTTTTCAAGTGCAAATAAAAGTGGAGAAAATAATATTGGGGATTTGAATTATGTCTAATTACCATCTCAAGGGAAGAAACCCTACTCTTGGCAAAATGATTAAAAAAAACCTTTTAGAATGACGTAAATGTATGGTATTAATATACAGCTATTTTTAAAGGATAATTGTGGACTGCACATCAGGGAAAATATATTTTTTATATTTTCATAGAGGTCTACAACAACAACTCTTTTTTTTTTTTTAAAAAAAAAAAGATAAGATAGAGGAAAGAAGAAAAATTAAAAGTCCATTGGGGGAAAATTCCTGCCTTCATTTGCAAATGTCACAAATAGCAATACCAAAAGAAAACATGAGAGACAACAGCTTGGGTCTCTGAAGGGAAGCTCTGCGGGAACAGAGGCAAGCAGATTTCAAAAGGCTTTTTGCGAGATGATGTTTATCAGAGAAATAGCATGCTGAAAAGAAGCTACTGCTTAACGTTAATTTGGAAGATGTGGGACATAAAGTTTAATATCAGTCAAGCATCTCACCTCCTGTAGCTTGCTTTTCATCCTTGACGCAAGTGCCATCTAAAGACCCCACAGAATAACAATGACACGGCCGGCATGGTTGATGATTCTTTGGATGAACCTATGGAAGCAAAATCAAAGCAATGAAGCGATCTACTGGTCCTCCTGATCATGCCACTTAACCTAATTTGAAAGCTCAAGCACTATCCTTCCCTTTATTATAAAGCTGGAGAGATTCCATGATTACTTTCCTACTGATGGTTGCAATAATGTAACATGGATTTACTGACCAAAAATTAGATCTACACATTTATATCTTCATCCATGCAAACAGAAATAATAGCAGAAGGCCCTGTTCTCTCATTGTGTTTCTTTATATCAACACACGTTACTTTTATATTCTATGAGAAACTTTCCTTTAGGTTTTCCCATTTTGAAAAGCAACTAGAAGGCAAGAGAGACTAGAATACAGTTCACAGTGCTGTATTCCCCCCCCCCATTGAATATGGTACCATCTGAAATGATGTTTTGGATTTCAAAGAACAGAGTTATGGATCCTTTACCCCTTTTGGCCTGAAGTATCCATCAATGCACGTTTCACAATTGATGCCAGCAGTGTTCTGGGTACAGTTAATGCATATTCCGCCTCCAAGATATTCTCCATGGATATTCAAGCTCTGCTTTTTGTCTGCAACCATCTGATCATAGTAACATTCTTGTGCCTTCCCATGGCAGTTGCAAGCTAAAGAACGGAAGAAGTACAGTATATTAACAAGCATCACATCAGTCTGCATTCATGTAGAAACATCCCCCCCCCCAGGAATTTACGATATTCTTTCATTGTTTTGATCCTAGTTTACCAGAGAGTTTCAGCTCTTGGAATGAATAAGTAATCCTTCACATATTATGCTGTGGAGTTAGTAATAGTAATAGTAGTAAAGTTGGAAGGGACCTTGGAGGTCATCTAGTCCAACCCCCTGCTCGGGCAGGAAACCCTACACCATTTCGGACAAATGGCTGTCCAGTCTCTTCTTAAAAACTTCCCGTGTTGGAGCATTTACTGCTTCTGGAGGCAAGCTGTTCCACTGATTAATTGTTCTCACTGTCAGGAAGTTCCTCCTTAGTTCTAGGTTGCTTCTCTCCTTGATTAGTTTCCACCCGTTGCTTCTTGTCCTGCCTTCAGGTGCTTTGGAAAATAGCTTAATTCCCTCTTCTTTATGGCAGCCCCTGAGATATTGGAATACTGCTATCATTTCCCCCCTTGTCCTTCTCTTCGTTAAACTAGACATACCCAATTCTCGCAACCGTTCCTTATATGTTTTAGCCTCCAGTCCCCTAATCATCTTTGTTGCTCTTCTCTGTACTCTTTCTAGAGTCTCAACATCTTTTTTACATCGTGGTGACCAAAAATGGATGCAGTATTCCAAGTGTGGCCTTACCAAGGCATTGTAAAGTAGTATTAATACTTCACGTGATCTTGATTCTATCCCTCTGTTAATGCAGCCTAGCACTGTGTTGGCCTTTTTGGCAGCTGCAGCACACTGCTGGCTCATATTTAAGTGATTGTCTACTAGGACTCCGAGGTCCCTCTCACAGTTACTACTAGTTCATCATAGTATTACCTTCAAAATCACGCTAAGAGAAGGATCTTCCGTGGCTTTTCCAGATCTTCTGACAGTGGCAAAGTACCATTTTAAAATCTATGTAGACTTCCAATATTTTGTAAGTTAAATAAGTCGTTGAAAAAAAATGTACTAAATGGACGGCTATTATTAATGGAAATGATTCTGGTACTCTAAAATAACTAAATATGGTTGAACCCTTTTAAATTCTGCACTAAAACGATGATGGCACTTCATTTCGTCTGGTCAGTTATAAGTTATTATGGACTACAATTGCTTTTAAGCTTATGCCATAAAAAAGTTTTCAAGATGTTTTCATTACAACGTGCTACCATTAAAAATTGTCATTCACTATTAGTTCTAAGTTACTTATTAGGAGCTTGCATTGCATTATATTAACAAACAAACAAAAATTAAACAGACCTTTATGGATTACTCCCCTTTATGGATTACTGCCTTGTCGTGGCGAAGGAGCTTGCGTAACTCAATGAAGCTATAAGCTATGCCGTGCAGGGCCACCCAAGATGGACAGGTTATAGCAGAGAGTTCTGACAAAATGTGATCCACTGGAGAAGGAAATGGCAAACCACTCCAGTATCTTTGCCATGAAAACCCCATGGACAGTACTAAAAGGCAAAAAGATATGACGCTGGAAGATGAGCCCCTCAGGTCGGAAGGTGTCCAATATGCTACTGGGGAAGAGCAGAGGGCTAGTACTAGTAGCGCCAGAAAGAATGAAGCAACTGGGCCAAAGCCGAAAGGACGCTCAGCTGTGGATATATCTGTTGGTGAAAGGAAAGTCTGATGCTGTAAAGATTTTTTCTCCATAGGAACCTGGAATGTAAGATCCATGAATCAAGGCAAGCTAGACGTAGTCAAAAAAGAGATGACAAGACTGAACATCGACATCTTAGGAATCAGCGAACTAAAATGGACAGGAATAGGTGAATTTAACTCAGATGACCATCAGGTATACTACTGTGGGCAAGAATCCCTCAGAAGAAATGGAGTAGCCTTCATAGTCAATAAAAGAATAGGAAAAGCAATACTGGGATACAATCCCCAAAATGACAGAATGATCTCAATTCGAATCCAAGGCAAACCATTCAATATCACAGTAGTCCAAATCTATGCCCCAACCACTGGTGCTGAAGAGGATGAAATTGACCAGTTCTATGAAGCCCTACAGCACCTTATAGAATTAACACCAAAAAAATGATGTCCTTATCATCATGGGGGATTGGAATGCTAAGGTAGGAAGCCAAAAGATAACCGGAATAACAGGCAAGTTTAGCCTTGGAGTACAAAATGAAGCAGGGCACAGGCTAATAGAATTTTGTCAAGAGAATACGATGGTCATAACAAACACTCTTTTCCAACAACCCAAGAGACGGCTCGACACATGGACATCACCCGACGGTCAACATAGAAATCAGATTGACTATGTGCTCTGCAGCCAAAGATGGAGAAGCTCTATACAGTCAGTAAAAACAAGCCCAGGAGCTGACTGTGGCTCAGATCATGAGCTTCTTGTTGCAAAATTTAGGCTTAAATTGAAAAAAGTAGGGAAAAGCACTAGGCCACTCAAGTATGAACTAAATCATATCCCTGATGAATATACAGTAGAGGTGACAAATAGATTTAAGGAATTAGATCTGATAGACAGAGTGCCTGAAGAACTATGGATGGAAGTTCGTAACATTGTACAAGAGATAGCAACTAAAACCATCCCAAAGAAAAAGAAATGCAAGAAAGCAAAATGGCTGTCTGAGGAAGCTTGCAAATAGCTGAGGACAGAAGGGAAGCGAAAGGCAAAGGAGAAAGAGAAAGATACACCCAATTGAATGCAGAATTCCAGAGAGTAGCTAGAAGAGATAAGAATGCCTTCTTAAATGAACAGTGCAAAGAAATAGAAGAAAACAACAGAATCGGGAGGACCAGAGATCTCTTCAAGAAAATTGGAGATATGAAGGGAACGTTTCATGCAAAGATGGGCATGATAAAGGACCAAAATGGCAGAGACCTAAGAGAGGCACAAGATATTAAGAAGAGATGGCAAAACTACACAGAAGAACGATACAAGAATGAGGTTAATATCCCAGATAACCACAATGAGATGGTCATTGACCTCGAACCAGACATCCTAGAATGTGAAGTGAAATGGGCCTTAGAAAATCGGAGCAACAACAAAGCTAGTGGAAGTGACAGTATTCCAGCTGAGCTATTCAAAATCTTAAAAGACGATGCAGTAAAAGTGCTACACTCAATTTGCCAGCAAATTTGGAAAACTCAACAGTGGCCACAGGATTGGAAAAGGTCAGTTTACATTCCAATTCTAAAGAAAGGCAATGCCAAAGAATGTTCAAACTATCGCACCATTGCACTCATTTCACATGCTAGTAAAGGTATGCTTAAAATCCTACAAGCTAGACTCCAGCAGTATGTGGATCGAGAACTACCAGAAGTACAGGCAGGATTTCGAAGAGGCAGAGGAACTAGCGATCAAATTGCCAACATACGCTGGATCATGGAGAAAGCTAGGGAGTTCCAGAAAAACATCTACTTCTGCTTCATTGACTATGCAAAAGCCTTTGATTGTGTGGATCACAAGAAATTGTGGCAAGTTCTTAAAGAGATGGGAGTACCAGACCATCTCATTTGTCTCTTGAGAAACTTATATGCGGGTCAAGAAGCAACAGTGAGAACTGGACACGGAACCATGATTGGTTCAAAATTGGAAAAGGAGTCCGGCAAGGCTGTATACTGTCGCCCTGCCTATTTAACTTATATGCAGAGCACATCATGAGAAAGGAAGGGCTAGATGAATCAAAAGTTGGAATTAAGATTGCCGGGAGAAATATCAACAACCTAAGATATGCAGATGATAACACTCTAATGGCAGAAAGTGAAGAGGAACTAAAGAGCCTCTTGATGCGGGTGAAGAAGGAGAGTGCAAAAGTTGGCTTGAAACTCAACATTAAGACAACCAAAATCATGGCATCCGGCCCTCTCAATTCCTGGCAAATAGATGGGGAAGAAATGGAGGTAGTGACAGATTTTATTTTTCTGGGCTCAAAGATCACCTCAGATGGGGATTGCAGCCAAGAAATTAAAAGACGCTTGCTCCTGGGGAGGAAAGCTATGGCAAATCTAGACAGCATTTTAAAAAGCAGAGACATCACCCTGCCAACAAAAGTGCGTATAGTCCAGGCCATGGTTTTCCCAGTTGCAATGTATGGCTGTGAAAGTTGGACCATAAGAAAGGCTGAGCACAAAAGAATTGAGGCCTTTGAACTATGGTGCTGGAGAAGACTCCTGCGAGTCCCTTGGACTGCAAGGTGTTCAAACCGGTCAGTCCTAGAAAAGATCAACCCCGACTGTTCTTTAGAAAGCCAGATCCTGAAGTTGAAACTCAAGTACTTTGGCCACCTAATGAGAAGGAAGGATTCACTGGAGAAGAGCCTAATGCTTAGAAAGATTGAGGGCAATAGAAGAAGGGGACGACAGAGAATGAGATGGCTGGATGGAGTCACTGAAGCAGTAGGTGTGAATTTAAATGGACTCCAGAAGATGGTAGAGGACAGGAAGACCTGGAGGAACGCTGTCCATGGGGTCGCGATGGGTCGGACACGACTTCGCAATTAACAACAACAACAACAACAAAGGGATGGAATCTAAGAATATTAACCACTAATATGTCCTATTATTTGAATGCAAAACTATATTTAATTTATCCTATTGAAACAAATGTATTGCACATATTACAGTTACATTAATCTGCCATATAAATATATATATTATATCTAAATTGTTTATTTCTAATTTCAGTTTGTTTTTTCCACTGAGAACCGCAGAGAAAATTACATGTACTTTTTCCAGTTTCTCATCCAAATGGCATGAAAAACTAGATGTGACTATATCACAATGAATATATACAGGTAAGCTTCTTTGCTTTGATCTTTTTTATAAATCATATCCATTGAATTATTTCTATTACCTTCACATTCATGCTTTATGAGGAAAGTCCCAGCTTGCCACGGTCTCTGATTAAATCCAGGGCAACACCGATCACAGCTTTCTCCACAAGTATTATGTTCACATGCACAAGAAGATCTCTGTTGGGATGGGATGGGATGGGATGGGGAGAAAAAAGGAGAGGAGAACAGAGGAGAGGAGAGGACAAAAGAGGAGAGGAGAGGAGAAAAGATGAGAGGAATGGAGAGGAGAGGATTATCAAAATTATAAAACTGGGCAATCAGAAAATATAAAACAGCACCTTGGTAACACACTGGATGAAGCCATGATATCCAAGCAGACTACGATCCTATCAAAATAGCTAATGGAGCAGCAGATTACATAGTTCTATTCTGTCCCATCCTTCTCTCTCTCTTATGTCCAATTTTTTCCATGAAAGAAGTAGTTTTTTTCAACAGTGGAATGGCAAATGTTGATACAAACCATGTAAAATAAATGTGATATATATACAAATAAATAAGCTGAAGTTTTAGACGAACACAGACAATTCTAGAGAAAAATTAGATGCCAATATGTTATCCAACAGTTTATTGCTGGGCAGCCAACTCACTTTTGGTTCTAAATATTTCAGCATTGGCAGAGTAATCCAATAGGAATTGACTCAGATTTCTAACATGATAATATTAATTATCAAGGTATCCTGAAAATCTCAGGTCACTTAGATCTATTAAAGAATGCTTTTGCAACATTTTAATCTTTCTTTCTGTATGGTACACTAGATAAATTAAACTCTCTATAATCTTCCCAGTGTATCTATTTAAAGAAGATTTGACAAAGTATAGAACTGCTTATAATGAATAAACTGTTAGTGAAACCTAAGGTCACTTGTGACCTTATTTCAAAGAAAGTTTTTTGGAAAATGTTTCCTTTTTTGGAACGTAAATCTGTTTGTATCAGGCCTGCTAAAAGAGGAATATATGGTAAAGAGAAAAATAATTTTAATAAGTCATATGTTAGGCTTTCAATGCATATGATCTTAAATAAAGCAATGATTGGTGGATATTTTTGAAGAAAGTGTTTAATACTGTGCTAGTTAATACAATTTTGATTGTACAGTGCTCTTTTATAGCTAGAGAATATCTCTGTCTCTCACACACATGTATATACAGTATAGACACCAATGCTAAGACATTATTTTAGAAAATGCAAATGCAAATAAAATGATTTTTTTTCAATCAATCAAGCCAATCAATTAAGAAAGCATATGATTTCCCACCAGCACAATAATTCTCTCTGCTGATGGAAAGCAGCTATCAATTAGCTTGAGAATAGCATGAGTTTTTATAATTTTGCCCACCTCTTTTCCAGATTTCAGAGGCCGGATGAGACACCTGGAATAGTTGTACGGGAAAGGGAATTACTAAAAATCATATGCTTAGTAAACAGAATTAATGGAATTCATGGTAAGGTTTCAGTCCTTTACACATTTATTATATGCTTTGCACATTTACTGTTAAACTTAATAAAGCTTATTTTCAAGTAAGACGCTGAAAAGTGAGCATTTTTTCAAAATTTGATATGCCTGAAAAGTAACAGTTATCTCAACCATGACTTTGAGAACATTGCCCTTGAGAAGTTCTATCATCAAGATAAAAGAAGATTGTACACATGTGTATTGTATAGCCCTTTTCATATTAGAACAGTGTTGGAAAATACATACATTTGTGGCTGGATTCAATGGACATGATTTTGCATGGCCAAAACAGATGCACATTCCTCCGACTGAGATGTCTTTCACAGAATAATAATACTGAAAAGAAAATTAAAAAGAAAGATATATGCTATTATTATGTTGCAAACTGAATACAAGAGAGTTATCATTTTGGTACCTAATCAAGAGCTTTTAAAAAGGTGGGAGCAAATGTGTGCTTCATTTTCACAGAAGTCAAGAAATAGATTTACACTGCCCAGTATTTGATTACCATGAACAATAATTCAATAATAAAGTTCTAGGTTTTGGATAAATGAACTGTACTCCTTTTGCATTCCAAAAATCCTATATGGATTTTTCTAAATCCCAAACAAGGGCATGCTGATATTAACTATGTTGAAATACTGTGGGCAAGGGAGAATTTCCCCCCACACACTCTTTTTTCCTTTGTAGGGTTTTATGATGAAAATGGACTCAGTGAGTCAGGACATTGGAGATGATTCTGTGAGTTTCAGAAAGAAGACAAAAAAATCAGCAAATATCTCCTCTTTCCTGAAAATTCTCACTCTGTGGCTGATGTGAAGGAATCTTCTTTACATAGAATGGTCATCCAGAATCCACATCATCTCTTTAGAGGCAAGTTTACTTAATAGTGTATGTTTAAAAGTGAAACTTTACAACTCTGCCTTCAGTTGTTTCATTAAATTTCACTAATCCACTGGCTAATATAAAACTTCCTGTGGCTATTAAAATATTTACATGCATTTCTTGCATCATTTTCTTCCACAAGAGTCACGCTTTATGATCCTTTACAGTAAAAATGGTCATCGGGGATCAATAATGCATATATGTAGATAGAGCATTCATGACCTGAGAATAGAGCATTCATGACCTCCAGTTCATTCATAGAGCCATATTTCTAGGGAGGGCCATTCGAAGCAATTATTACAGCTTTCTAAATTGCCCGGCTAAATTCCTCTGGCTTTCCATTAAAGGCATTCAAGACAGCCCTTCAAATATTTGCTATCATTAAGATATGCCAATCTTAGCAAAAGAAGAAGGGAAAAGAAGTTATTTTTCAAACATTGTATAAAAGTACTGTTTTATGTCACTTGTGATAAAAGGACAACACTTTACAACTGTGACCTGGAGCACAAGAATTTTTCCAGATCTTAAAGATTGGGCAGAACCAACAGAAGAAAGATTGTCCCATAGGTAACCAGACCTTAGTCTTGTAGAGTTTTAGAGGTCACAACCAACATCTTAAATTGTACCCAGAGGCTCATCAGTAACCAATGCAGCATACAAAACAATAGTGTTACATGGACAAAGCAAGAAGCCTCTATAACTACTCATGAAGCAATGCACTGGATCAGTTGTACCTTCTGATCTTCAAGAGTAGATAATTTTCCACAACATATATATTAACAAGTAAATTCTACCGTAGAAAATGTATCACCAACTGTATTCTCAAGCTACCTACAAGCAAGCACCTATGTGTTAACCATGGAGGAGAACTGCAACGTTCCTCTTCTCCTTCAACATTGTTTTCTTCAGACAAGTTCCAATCCTAATGATGTATCATCAGGATGACACATTGGGTGCAGAGATTTATAAGGTATCTCTGCAATTACAATAGTTTATAAAGAGTGGTGCTATATGGTCTGGAATAGAATGGAATAGATCTGTGGTGGCAAACCTATGGCATGCGTGCCACAGGTGGCACACAGAGCCCTCTCTGTGAGCATGCATGCCATTGCCCCAATCCTAGGCCTTCAGCTGGGTTGTATAAAACCTTTTCGCTTTAGGTCTCCACCATCGTGTGCAAAAAAAAAAAAGGTTCAATCAATCAATCAATCAATCAATTTCAACTTCTCGTGGAAAAAAAAGACCTCACAAAGTTAGAATTGATTGATTGAACTTTTTAGTCCCACCCAGTCTGCCATTACCATTGCAGCCACATCCACCCAATTGGCCACACCCACCCAATTGGCCACACTCAATGATATATAAGTGGGTTTTCGGTTGCAGTTTGGGCACTCGGTCTCTAAAAGGCTTGCCATCACTGGAATAGATTATCAGAATGAATTGTTCATCACTATCCCTGTTCTTAGCTTTTCAATACAAATAAGAAGGGAAAAATATACTTCAGCTTCAAAAAAGTTATATACGCTCATCCTGCTAGTTTTCTTTAAATGAGCATATCAAAGAGAAATTTCTATTTCAGAAAGAACAAAAGCTGATGTTTTATAATTTTGAAATAACAAAATCCTTTTGGATTTTAGGCATTAAAAAAAGTATTACAAATGCACATTCTAGCATCTTTGCCAGGACTTACCCTTCTTGTGACTATTGGATCAATTTCATTGAGATCTCTGTGTGCAAGCATCATTAAATCCGCATTGAGGGTCCGTATCCTCTGAAATCTTAAGCGAATATAACGAGCTGATGTAAACTCTAATAGTGTTGGAGAAGGATCATCTGCACTTGGTCGTCCATTGATTAAGGATGTATGAATCTACGAAGTAGAGGAAATAAGGATAGTGGTTAGCTAACACTGTTCACTCAAAAATTATCAGGTCTGCAAAGTGAACGTAGGAATCACAAGAAAGAAAGAAATGTGGTTGTAAAAAAATGTTTTCCCCTTTCATTTATATCTCTTTTTCCAACGCTTTGAATCTTATACAACGTTATTGGATAATCTAATGTCGCCAATTTCAGAAAAATCTGTTTTTTTAAGTAGAAGAAAGATAATTTTCTTTTTGAAAAGAATGTAAACCTTCTGGATATCCAATAGAAGATAATATATGTAGCTGAGGGTTGAATGGAAACCCTAGTGTTCTCTGAATCTGATTCTTTGCTTGTAGTGTTTCATTACTTGACTAGGATACCAAGGAGAAAACCACATTTCGCCAATACTGGCAGGAGAAGCTACTGAACAGGGTCCAAACTCCATATTCACTAGCACTGATGATACCTAGTCAAGTAATGAAATGTCTATAAGCAAACAATCAAACTCAGAGAGCACCTAGGACTCCACCTTCTAGAATCTAGATATGTCACACAGATTCATGAATAGTTGCCTACAGATAATCATTAGCCACATGCTTTTCATTGGATATGAGCAAAGAATAATACAGATAGGCCACAGTACGCCATGATTTACACTAAAATAGACGGCATGTAGTTTTTTTTTAAAGATGCGACTTAGCTATTTGACAATGGTAGTTTCAAGTCATATATATTTTGTTTGAAGCAAACTAGGAAATTAGTTTTATGTTTTGTATTTCTGACCTTTTCTATTATACACCACAGAATAAAAACCTACTGCACAGTATACTGCCTATTTCATACTTAAGTCACAAATTGTATTTTTCCCTTTTAAAATTTATGCATATATATTCCTTTTAAAACTAATATACCATATGGTATGTTCATGAACGATTTAGCAGCTTCTTTCCTATTCACAGTTTTCATATGTGAAGGATGGTACTTTGCCAGAAATCTACCAAGTACAGTCACAGTGTGGTTCTTTCTAACATAGAAAGAAACTGCAGATGCTTGGCTATGATGCTTGAAGTATTTTAGTTCACTTTTTCAAAACAAGTTACATGAAACGATTTAACCACATCTTTTTCATAGACTTTTAAAGTGATAATTACGATTAGAGAATTTTTAAAATATAGCATGAAAAATGTTTCAGATTTGAAAGGCTTTCCATATTACTAATTTTTAAAGCATCAAAACATAATTATGTACACACACGCACACACACACGTGTCATAAAAATATGTGTAACAGTTTGTTTTGTATCGAAGGAGTTAGTTAAACATGTGTGTACACATGCACACATACACATTTAGATAAGAGATATTGAGGAAGAGAGAGAGATTGAGAGAGAGAGAGAGAGAAAGAGAGAGAGAGAGAGAGAAAGTGCCATCAAGTCAACATTGAATCTCAGCAACCATACAGATTTTCTTCAGGAAGATCTGTCCCCAAAGTAATCCAAATAAATAAATAAGAATGAATGATAAGAAATATTCACAGAAATGTAAAAGATATACTATGAATAAAACTTTTCAGTATTTTAATTTAATAATTTAATTTAATTTAATTAATTACCTTGATAGAATAAAAGAAACCAATAATCAATATCATAGTAATAGTATGCAGTAATACTAATAGCAATACTATGGATATGATGGAAATTTTTCAAAGATTACTTTTTTAATAAACAGGTGATATTAGATTATTCTTCTCACACTGAAGCCATGTAGTATTATGGTGTCATGTTTACCTATCTAGAAGTCTTCCTCTGTTTTTCAGAATTGTTAGATGATGTAGTATTTTTACTATAATAATTAGCAAATGCTGCAGTTAAACTGAATTGACATTTTAACATTTTTTAAATATACTGCCAAATTCATTCCAGTTCTGAGTGCTTTACAATCAACAAAATAATGTCTAAATACTCCCAGAACCCTAAGATAACCCCCCAAAAAACCAATCGCTCCATTCAAGTGGCATCCCTTTCCAGAGCAAGCAAACTCTGAGCTTAGACCTCTTCCATGTCCCAAAAGAAGGGAATAGCCTGAATAGATAAGTTAGGGAGATTTTATTTGGAGCAGACAACCTCCACATTAACAGACCCTAAAGCAGTGGTTCTCAACCTTCCTAATGCTGTGACCCTTTAATACAGTTCCTCATGTTGTGGTGACCCCCAACCCCCCCTCCAGCTGGCCAGGGGGAGGTATCAAAAACTTGACCCCCTCAAAAAAGGAAAAAGATGGGAAATTCGCTTAGTGACTGTTTGAAGTTACAACAGCACTGAAAAAGCGAATTATGATCATGCAGCATCCCCAGGGTCATGTGATTTACATTCGGATGTTTGACAACTGATTCATACTTATGATGTTTACAGTGTCCCAGGGTCACATGATCAATGGCCAGGGGGCGTGGCCAGCTGATCACTCAGGTTGCAGAATGCCTGTGGGGGGGAATCTGTGGGTCTCTGGGATGGAACTGGGGTGGGTGCCTGCCTTCCTTCCCTCCCTTCTCTCCCCTTGCTCTTCCTTCCTTTTTTTCTTCCTTTCCTTCACCACCCTCTTAGTCTCTTCCTCCTTCCCTCCCTCTTTTCCATTGTCCCTTCCTTCGTTCCTTCCTTTCCTTCACCTCCTTCTTAGTCTCTTCCTCCTTCCCTCCCTCTTTCCCATTTCCCTTCCTTCCTTCTTCCCTTCCTTTCGTTCACCTCCCTTAGTCTCTTCCTCCTTCCCTCCCTCTTTCCCATTGTCCCTTTCTTCTTTCCTTCCTCTCCTTCACCTCCTTCTTAGTCTCTTCCTCCTTCCCTCCCTCTCTCCCATTGTCCCTTCCTTCTTTCCTTCTTTTCCTTCCCCTCCCTCTTAGTCCCTTTCCTCTCAAAGGGGGCTCCTTATTTCCACCCCTTACCTGGGTTTGTGGGGAATTTCTCGTCACCAACGCTAACAGGTGCTCCTTCGAGCCCACCGCGAGCTTTCTTGCCCCCTTTGCTTCTCCCCCCCACTTTTGTGAGGATTGTGGCACCCTTGGGAAGCCAATTGTGCTTTAAAGCTTAGGAGAGGAGGAGGAGTCCCTTCCTCCTTCCCTCCCTCTCTCCCTTTCAAGCCCCGGCAGGCTCAACATGAACGGGTGGAGGAGGAGACGAGGACGGGCAGGGTGGCAAAGAAGACCGGCGGCCGTCGCCAGACCTCCCAGCTGACAAGCGCAAGTTTCGGGGTCGCTAGCTGATGGGCGCAGGAGTTGGGTGCTGTGGCGGCCTCCCCTTCGCTGACCTGCATGCACAAGAAGAAGTCAATCCGGTTGCTACACAATGAGTCTCTGGGGAGGGCGGGGCCTTGCTCTGCGCCTGTGCTTTTCATGCACCCCCTGCAGGGCACATTTGGTAGAGTTTGTGCAGACTGCCGCAGAGCAACATATTTTCCACAAACAAGTGAGGTGGAGCGGAGGGGGGGAGAGAAGGCAGTTGACAAGCCCTGCCTAAGACCATTGGAAATATGTGTTTTCCGATGGTTTTAGGCGACCCCTGTGAAAGGCTCGTGCGACCCCCAAAAGGGTCGCGACCCACAGGTTGAGAACCGCTGCCCTAAAAGGTTTAAAGATATATAGATAATAACCAGACCACAAACTGGATCTTGAAATCTACTGCAACCAGTGCAGATTCTACACATTGGCTGGTGGTGCTAAGTTGGTTCTTCCCAAAATGTAGACCACTGATTTAGTCCCAACTGCAGCTTCTAAATTGCCTTTAAGGGCTATGCCATGGAGAGTGAATTGCAGCAATGTAACCAAGTAATTATAAAAGCATGAGTCATGGTCAACAATAACTGTTGAATCAGGGATACTGATCATATTATATCCCATCTGATGGATGATCTCCCTAAAAGATATCATGTAGACTTAAAGAAAATGGGGGAAAGGTCAAAACCTCATACTGGAATGTCTAAAGCTCAAACTGCCCTTCCCCATCAAAACTGACTGAGAGTGGAGCCACTGAATAATATTCTTTCAAACCTCAACTCTCACAGGCAAACAAAAGGATACCAAGTTTAATGAAATCAAACACTGCTGAGACCTTAGACAGCCCACTCTCCCCATTTAGGCTCACTTCACAAAGTATTACTCCTATCATCTCAATGGATTTGGCTATAAACTATCCAGCAAAAAGTCTGTTACAGTGCCCAATTCTTCTGATTTGCCCAAACCTTTGTTTTTCTTTGAAGATGTTTCACTTCTCATCCAAGAAGCTTCTTCAATTCTGACTGAATAGTGGAGTATGGAAGGATTTATACTCCTTGCAATCATCTGGTCATTAATTCTCTTTCTGAGAGTCATTGAGGCCACTTGGAGGTTTATCTGTGCCCTCCCTCAGCATCACTGGAAGGGTCACCTGAAGAAGCTTCTTGGATGAAAAGCAAAATATCTTCAAGGAAAAATAAAGTCCAGTTGCCTTTTGAAAAAGCACCTTTAGGACAACCATGACCTGGATGACTGAAAATCTCCACAGACATCTAAAAAAGTCCAGGTAACCCTAAATAAGGTCACTGGAAACCAGTTCCATGGATATAATTACACCAGGGAAGTATTGATGCCTTTCTATCCTTATCACTATGCTTTAAGTGCCAATATTTGGCCATAGCCAATCTTTATCTTTTGCCAGTGCCACATAACACAGTAACAATTATTCAATTCTATTCTATTGATTGTAATGCATACAGCATTGAAATGCTTAAAATGCATCCTTTCAACCAGCAACAAAATGTCAAATACTGTTCATGTCATATTCTACTTCAACTAACTCAGTCCCCAAAGAGCACTGGTAAATGTCAGCTTAATGAATTGTTTAGCAAATATGATTATATGCTGGGCAACCTGTACCTCAGATAGCATGAGCTAAGCATGGGGAGAGGGGGGTTGTCAGCAGCTCTCTTTCTTCCAACCATTTGCACCTCAAAATTACAATTGCTCTCTAATTCATTCTTTTTT